TCTGACCTACAAACTATAATACTGTCTTTAAAGCCATTAAGTTTGTGGTAATTTTTCACAGCAGCAATATGAAACGAATGTAAATACCATCATATCCTTGAGAGTTTACTTGTATGACTCGAAGCACAGCATGTACACACACCGCTTTCTGTACCTGAAATGTCCTTACTTTCTTGCAGGTCTAAGTATTACATTTACTTCTGAAGTCTGCTTCTCTGAGAACTTACTGAACTCTGGATTTCTGTCCATTGCTGTCCTAACACACTGTTTGCAGCTTCTGTCATATTACTTGCCTTGTGTATTATAATTGTTGATTTTTTCTTCTTCCCTGGACTGTTGAGCCCCTACAAGTGAGAGCCTTTTCTTTATTCATAGCACCTATCCCATGAATGAATTAAGTGTAATGATGAATAAACAAAAATAGAATGGTCTAAATACTTTTTTTATTTTTATTTTTGAGTTGGAGTCTCACTCTGTCACCCAGACTGGAGTGCAGTGGCTGCTCCTGGCCACCGCAGCCTCGACCTGCTGGGCTCTGGCGATCCTTCCGCCTTAGCCTTCCAGGTCTAAATACTTTTAATTTAGAAGGCTCACATTCTGTGTTTGAGTCTGTGCATGTGTATGTAATTGGGCATGTGTGTTTTAGGACAGAGATATTCTGAGAAATGTTTACATTTGTTTAGTCCTCTAATTCTGATAATCTGCCTCAACCTTCTACTCATCTGCTGGCAATTCAATCTCTGTTATTACTGGAGTTTTACTCATAAGAATTGCAGGCTTACTGAGAATCTAGGAATGTAGATCTGGTCTTAAGACCAAGATAATTAATGTCCAGCTTCTACTGCTATCAATGATGTGGGAATGGTCGGGACTGTACACTGGCTGAGCCACCATTTCTTTCAATGGGGAAAACTCAGAAGCTTTTGGTCACTTCTACAAAACTTGGGGGAAATATATATGTGTGTGTGTGTGTACATTTTCTTTCTTTTACACTAAGCCCTCTTCCTTCAACATTTCCTTCCATCTGGAGAAGACAAGTATAAATCTAAAAGCATAGATTTCAAAAAAAAAAAAAACGGAAACAAATTTTGACCATGTAACACAAAAATAAAACATAGATCTTGCACTTAAAGCAAGAGAATACATAGGCAGAAGAACAAGATACAGTTAATATCGCCACAAATTAAGTAGGTCTGCATATTCTCTTACCTTAGGAGAGATCCTTTGAAAGACTATCCTTATGATGACGTCCCCCCCAAAGGCATTTATTTTAAGGGTATTACTCTTAGATTGCCTAAGAGAGGAAGGACAGGCAAATGCCTTAGAGTGAAAAAAGGTGGAAGAAACCCCAGTAATGATGTGTTGACATTTTTGCCATTCTGCCAAGTATGAGGTTAACAGCCAGACCTAATTTGGTTTGGTAAAGTGAGTAGTTTGAGTTTTTATACATCATCATGATGGTATAAAATTCATATCCAAATACAAGTCATGACTTTTTTCTCTACAATATCAATTTAAATGCTTCATAAGACAGTATTCTTAGCTGGAATACTTATTTCCCCCCCTATTTAATTAGCTGGATATTTTGGGACAATTAGGCTATTTTCAACTTTTTTCCCTAGCATAAACAACATCACAATGAATATCCTTGTAGCTAAATCCTTGCATAGATTCTTAATTGTTTCCTTGGGATAAAAATCCTAGATCTAGTTCTAAGCTCTAGTTTTTAGGCTTTCATATTTCAGATGCTAGAATATTTTTATTTCCTCCTTCCTTTATCATCAATTAGTTAGCAAATAAAGCCTAAAATACTTGAATTTTTTGTGATAACAAGGTCAATAACTTTCTATTGTCCTCCCCTTTCAGTTTTTTGATAGTATTTATCGCTAACATGCCATATAACATTCTTATTTATTGTCTGCTTCTCCCCATTAGAATGTAAGCTTCATGGGGGCAGAGATTTTTGTCTATTGTACTGCTAATTCCCAGCACCTGGCGTATAGCTGGATAGATTGCTTACTATGTACCAGGCACTGCGCTTGTGCTTATATGCAGAATTTCATTTAGTTTTTAATCACAATAGGAAACTGTTTTATTATTCTCGTTTTAAGATAAAACTGGTTACATTTTATTATTTAAAAAAATTATCTGAGCCCGCGGGTTCGAGACCCGCCTGGGCAGGCGAGACCTCATCTCTACAATAAATAAATAATTAGCTGGGCGTGGTATCGCACGCCTGTAGTTCTAGCAACTCGGAAGGCTGAGGCGGAAGGATTGCCGGAGCCCAGCAGGTTGAGGCTGCAGTGGCTGGGAGCGGCCACTGCACTCCAGTCTGGGTGACAGTGAGACTCCAACTCAAAAAAAAAAAAAAAAATTATTATTTTTTTTAGAGGCAGGGTCTTGTTCTGTCACCCAGGCTGGAATCCAGTGGTGCAATCATTGGTCACCATAACCTCAAACTCTTGGGCTCAAGTGATTCCCCTACCTCAGCTTCCCAAGTAGCTGGGACTACAGGCATGTGCCACTATACCGGGCTCATTTTAAAACGAAGGTCTCATTTATTGCCCAGGTTGGTCTTGACCTCTTGGCGTCTAGTGATTCTCCCATTTCAGCCTCCCAAAGTGCCAGGATTAAGGAGACCTTACTGTAGTTTGCTCTCAAACTTTAGCCCCTGTAGATACCTTTGTTGTAATACTCACATTACTTAATCTAAGACTGGAGACATGCCATAGTCTCAAAGACCTGCAACCCATCCTACTTACCTTTTTCTATCCCAAACCACCAGAGCTCCACACTCACACAGGCCCACTTCCTGCCCCGGAAGCTTGTTTCCTCTGGCTTTTGCTCAGGTAAGCCCTGTTAGGGCACAGATAGGGTGGGGGTGGGTGGATGGAGGGAGAGGGATGAGGGGAGACACAGCACCACCGAAGCCGGAGATCTGAGTAATGCAAAGAATTGCAACACACAAAGAGGCAAAGAAAGAAAAGTTTATTTAAAAGTAAATTAGAGAGAGAAAGAAAAGGGAGAGAGAAGATTCACCTCCCCAAGGTGGGGGTGGGGGCCAAAGCCAGGAAACATGGTGACAGCCATAGCTCAAAGAGCACATGGCCACACCAGAGTCTAGGAAGGCAATGGCCGCTGGCTGCTTGTGGTTGAGTTCTTTTAACCAAGGTGATTGGGTGGTGGTCTGCTCCAGGTCATAACAAAAGGGCAGACAAGAGCAGGTACTGGTGTCAGGTGATGGACAGCAGGCAGATGGGTGGGTTAGTCACATGATTGCTGCCATGGTGGGGTTTATCTGTGTCATGTAGGACACAAAGGGCTGATTAGGTTAATTTGGGGAGTTTTTCCTGCAAGAGACTTGTTAGACATTTACATTTCACAAACTCCTTGACCACTTTTAGGACTTTGGCCAGCCAAAGGGTGATCTTTGATCTTCAGCCTTGACAAGGAACCTAAAAGTTTACTAGAGATTATTTATGCTAAACCATGAATTGGAAGGTTGGGCTGTCCTGGTCTTGCATCTGATGGAGACTGCCGAGGGGGGATGGGATAGGCTGCTGCTTGTTCTGCAGAATGTCTGAACCCTTTCTAATGGTTATGCTGAGGCAAAAAGACTAAACTAAGAAGAAGCTAAGTTTCTTCTAGGTTTCTATAGGTACCACCTTTCAAGTCCCCTGAAGAAATTGAGCCTAGACCTTGACTCTGAGCTTCAGTGAACTTCCACCTCCTTCCCAGGTCATCCCTGAATACTCCCAGACTCAGCGAGGATCTCCGCTCCTTCAGTATTCGCCACACGGTTATAGAAGGCTTTTGGCCAACGACGTCCCAGCCTGTGTGTCTTGCTGGGCACACAAAGGCCCGACACATGGGAGGGATGACAATGTTCTTGTATTGCCACCCCAGTGAGGGTAGTTTAGGGCAGTTGCTAGGAGTGCACGATCTTGATCAAGGTCATCTGTTTAAATCCCTTGGTCTGACACACAACGCCTTTAAAAAGTGGACATTTTAATGGAAAGAAAACAACCCACCGATGACGTCAATGACACATGGAAAGCATCCACCCAGGCAAAACGAAAATGTCTGCTGGAGTGTGGAAGCGAAGTGAGAGGGGCGTTGCGGGAGGCCTTCAGGGATGGCGGGAGGTGGCGGGTCTCGCGCCTCGTCTGGGTCGTGAAGTCTGAAGCTCTCTTGACGCCCTGTGGCCTTTCCCACCGCCTAGGGCTCGCTTTCGCGCAGGGCCACGCCTCGTTTTAGTTTAGCCGCGCGCCCGGCCGCCTGTAAACGGTTAATAACGGCCTCCCTGGCCCCGGCCTGTGCCCTCCATCTTGGTGCGGACGGGAGGGGGGGGAACGCCAGGTGTAGGGGACTGCAGACACGCGGCGGGTAGATCCAGGCCCCCAACCCCAACAGTCAAGTTTTCAAAAAGCCCGCGCGTGCTGCCCCGGGCCGCATCCGTTGGGAACGGCCCCCAGCCGCGGTCCCGCTGCCTCTCCGGCCAACCCTGGGCGGGAGCAGGCGTTGGGGTGGCAGGCAGGCTCCACACGCAGGGGGCGCCCCGGCAAGCGCGCACCAGGGAGCGCGCCCGTCCAGCGGCGGCCGAAAACGGAAGTGGGGGGAGAGGGGACCGCGATGATTGGCTGAACTGACACGTCTCTCAAGGGGCTGGCGCGAACGCCACTGCGGAGTTGGGCGAAGGGATGAGGAAAGGGGAGGGGGAGAGTCACTGGGAACAGCCGCGGTACCGGGAGGAAATGAATCGCGGAGGCTCGTGGAGGGCAGGGAGGGGCCCTTGTCAGAGCACAGTTGGGCGCGCGGGAGTAGAAGCGGGGTGGCGGAAGCGAGGGCGGCAGCAGCACAGGCCCAGGGCTTGAACAGACCGCGGAGGGCGGGGAGTCCGTGAGCGAGAGCGGCGCTGCGGCGCGGTAGGCGGGACTAAGGAGAGCGAGGCGGGGATTGGCGGGCATCCCTAGGCTGCCGTACGTCGGCGGTGACGCACGCCTCGGGGAGGGTGCGCGCGCGTTCAGCGGCCTCTTTGTGTGGTGCCCAGATAGGGGAGCGGAGGTGGCGGCGGCGGCGGCCTTGGTTGCCTTCCAGTCTCCTCGGTTCGCCCTCCAGCCGGCACCTCTCCCCTTCCCTCCCCCTTCCTTTCTTCCTTCCTTCCCCCCCTTCCCTTCCTCCCTTCCCCGCCGGCGACCGGCGGTGGCGGCTCCGGCGACGGCTGGGCCCAAGCTGTGAAGAGGCCTTAACCCACGACAAGCGCGACGGCGAAACCTCGGAGCTCGCAGGGCGGGGGCAAGGCCCGGGCCGTGGAGATGGAGAATTCGCAGCTGTGCAAGCTGTTCATCGGCGGCCTCAACGTGCAGACGAGTGAGTCGGGCCTGCGCGGCCACTTTGAGGCCTTTGGGACTCTGACGGACTGCGTGGTGGTGGTGAACCCCCAGACCAAGCGCTCCCGCTGCTTCGGCTTCGTGACCTACTCCAATGTGGAGGAGGCCGACGCCGCCATGGCCGCCTCGCCCCACGCCGTGGACGGCAACACGGTGGAGCTGAAGCGGGCGGTGTCCCGGGAGGATTCGGCGCGGCCCGGTGCCCACGCCAAGGTGAAGAAGCTCTTTGTCGGGGGCCTGAAGGGCGACGTGGCCGAGGGCGACCTGATCGAGCACTTCTCGCAGTTCGGCACCGTGGAAAAGGCCGAGATCATCGCCGACAAGCAGTCGGGCAAGAAGCGCGGCTTCGGCTTCGTCTATTTCCAG